CTCTCTCTCTCTCTCTCTCTCTCTCTCTCTCTCTCTCTCTCTCTCTCTCTCTCTCTCTGCACTGGTGAAAAAGCAGAAACTGCCACCTGATTACCAGCGCGAATTCTGATTAGCTTCCGCCTTTCTGCTTTCTGCTGTTCTGCCAAAAGGTATGAATTTTCCTTTAAGTCCTTTCAGAAAATGGAATTATAAATATTTCGATAATGAAGTTACAACATATGCTATTTCATAAAAATTTTCTAATTATTATAAAAAATGTCTTAGCAGTAATTGTCAATAACCTCCCAAACAAGGAACAGTCAACAAACTGTCACTTTTGATTTTCTGTCAATTCTAGCATTCAGTATTTGGTTCCGGTACGTTTCACCATTTACAATGTCCTAATTTTTCAATCAAGTGTGATCGACTCGGACTGTCCTTCTTATGCATATTTTCTACTAACGTCAATTAGACCTTAATCTTCTAGCCGTGCTCTTTTTTTACCCAAAGCAGTTTCAAAGTTCACACAGTTTTTGTAGTATTCTAAATACAAATGTGGTACTTTGCGATTTTTCGAATTATTTTAAAAAAAGTCAGTACATATTGTACTAAATTATATAATGTTAAAATAAAAGATGTAAAAAATATATATATGTCAATTAAATAGTGAGTTCTCTCCATTGGGTCTATTTAGACCCTGAACATGATCAAAGTATACTCGAAACGAACACGGTTTAAAGGTTAATCTAAGTTTAATTTTTTATCTGAATAGAGTTTAAACTCGAATTAAGGTTTAATCGACATTGAGAAAGAGGCATGAATTGCACATCATTCTCCAGATACCATTCGGGTTTCAAATGGTATCGGGTCTATCCTTCAACTACCGTTTTTCACTTTCGCATTCGTTTCTCTCCTCCCTTCTCGAAATGCAAACCAATATTTTGTTTCAAAAGACGTAAGCGCAGAAATGAAGAACGGGACTGAAGAGGAGAGATCCGGCGTTAACCGACCGCTGCTATTCCCTCCGTGAAATGAACAACCGGAAAAACTGAGCTGTCATTTCCACCAGAAGATGGCAGCAGCACGTTCAGTGAGTCCTAGTAGAGAGAAATTCTGACACGCAGTGTGAGTCGCGGATTCGCGACCCTCCAATCGCCGCCTCTATTTCCGTAGACGTCGAGCGCGTGTGCCAGATAAACGGGTCGCGTGAATCGTGTATTTCAGTGCGGCTTCAGCCGGACGGAGTCTCGGTCTGTTCCCGACCAACGGCAACGAGTAAGTACACGAATTATTGACTGAAGCCGGCAGAATCGACCGCGCGTTCACCTCGACCGGGACGTCGTCCTGGTCCACCTGTGGTCGGCATGATCGCGCGGTGATGCTTTGCATTGCAATTAAAAATACACAATTCTCTTCGGAGCTCTGTCCAGTGCGCCGGCTAGTGGTGGTGAACGGTGGTGTCGTAATGTGCGGACAAGTGTGACAAGTTTGATTTGTTCTAATGCACTGGAGGAAATTTATTTCCCCGTTGATTACACGGGAGGCACAGCCGGTCTTTCATTTTTGCGGGTACCTCGCTCTGACGCCGGTCAGCAATCGTCGATACGAGGAGTCGCGCAACGAGAGGGCCAACGTGCCGTTTTCCTTGCCCTTGTTTCGGCCCCTAAATGGTCGCTTATATAATTGACGTTGCAATTTTACTAATTAACGGCCGATAAGTGTCCCCGTGCGATCAGAAGGAGCCTTGACTTGATCAGATAAATTCGTTGTTTTGTATTCGAATAAACGAACGCGCGACGCCACTCGACACATTAATCGATGGAGGGAAAACAAAAAAATATAAGCTTGAACCGTAGATTGCGCACTGTTAATTCTGCGACTCGAGCTCTTTCATCCTTTATTTCTCCCCGTTGATCCGATATTTCATAAATTGTGGTTGATGTATAATGAACAATTTCATCGCGTTATATTTATGTCGACATCAAGATTTATTGTGTAACGTTTCGTGCACACGACTCGGATAAAAACTTAAAAATCCTCCAAATCATACGGTGGAAATACTCAGTTTTATATCCTATCAAATAACAAGCTATTCATGTTTTCGTTTAACTAAATATTTCCGTATGTATATCTCATGATTCGCAAGAAAAATTTGTTTTTCTTTCTTTTTCCTGTTTTTCTTTCATAATAGATCAACAGTTAATTCGTTCTGACTTTCATTCGCTTGAACTTATCACGGAATTTGCTTACTGCTGACAACACAAGCAAGTAAACAATCAATTTAGCAGTATAGGTTAGAATGGAAAGTTTCGCGAGTATCAGATATAATTGCAAATAATTGTCCACGGATTGCGATCTCTCAGGCGTTACGCTGACAGAATTATGTCACTCACACTATTTGCGCAAGTGTTAGCAATTTGAATAATGTCGTAGAAACTTGCGCACATAGTAAGTGTCGGCAAATTTTTACGACTGTAGCTACAGTCATCTTGCTAATGCAGGGTCAAAGGTCGCGCTCTTCGATATCAAGAGACATACGCAGAAGAAATAATCGGAGCGACGTTCCCATTGCACGAGGACGAAAGCACAGTTTCATCGCAGAGAATAAGATCCGCGGCCCGAGTGTTTTTTAATCGATCAAAATAAATTATGCCCGAGAAATTCGCACGTCGCGGAAGAATGTGAGAGAAAAAAAGAAAGACACACATTGGCGCAGCAGTATCTTCTGCAATCAAGTTCGCGTAATTTGCATAACTCGTTTGCATTCCCGCTCGCGATGCCGCTTGTGTAATTTGGATAAAAATCGTGAGATTATTGATTCGACATCGTGTATGTTGAATCGTGTATAAAAACGTGCAAACGCTACGTAAATAATAACAGTAATTCCCGGAAAATAAGCGAAGAGATGTATCAAGCAACAAGCGTACATTTTTAAACAATAAATTTCAGAAGAGAATGAAATAGAATCTTAAAGTTTGTTTTTGAGCTCGATATCCTTTTTCACCTTCATCTTAATGATAACATACGTAATTCAAGCAAAATAAAGCCAAACAAATGAATCAAGAATTGCGTTCACGATGCTACACACATGAGGCGCGGAATAAAATACTGTATACATAGATAAGCGTGCTAAAGTAAAGACAATTAACATACACGGTAGATCAATCAAGGTGCAAATTTTTTCCGTCTTTTCCACATTTATCGCGATGAGTGACTCAGGCAGGCCATCAGTCCAGACTATCAGACGCTTTTTTGACCGCGTAACCTCTACTAATGCATTTCGAGGTCGACACAGCGCGCGGAGTACGAGCAGCACGTGTTTCGTCGCGTGTATGAGGCCGATTGATATTCTTTTACCTTATCCTCCCGTATAATTTAGACTGTCGTAATCTCCTGTTACGCAAGCGTATTTTTCACGGACTTTGCCTTAACCTAAACTGACTATCTAACACAGTATGTCTCCTTCTCGTGACTGCACAGAAAGAAAAAGCCAGTTGAATGAACGAGAAACCACCAAGTTTCTCTTACCTTCAGTTCGCCTCTTCCTCTTCCGCTTTGTGCAATGCGCGAAAATTCTTCTTATTTGTTATATAATTTCAATTAAGACACTTTCATTCGTTGCTGACAGTTTGCTGATAGTTTCGATGCAAATCTTCTTGTTGCCTGCTCGTCTCAGTTTAAAGGCTCTACATTTAATCGAATAATAAGATCTCTCACGATTGATGGGTTTAACAGTGTCATTCTCTCTGATGTCGTATACAGCGAACGGAGACGATAAATCATCTCCTCCCGCGGATTCTTGCATGAAGCTCGCAACGCGAAGGATCAATAATGCTCCCGCATGAGAATGGAGTCATGCTTATTATAATCGTTCCTCTAAGAGTTGCCAAGAATTGATGCCAATGAACTCCAATGGTTCTTCCTGCGCGACACGTTCTATTTTTATTTGTACCATTCTAGTTTCCGCTTTGATTATATCATGCATACAATATATCATTCCTTCTACGATTCCGACTTACTTAGATAAGCATATTACTATTGTTACCATACATGACATATATATGGTGTCCCAGATTCTCCTCCGCAATTTTTGTAGAAACGTAAGACAGATTGAGATGAACATAAAAGTGTTATATTTTTCCATATTATTTTCTTATGTTCTGCGATATTCGCAATAAATCTCTTAATAATTAAAGAAGATTAGTGAACGATCACGCGCCATATGGTAGACAAGCTGTAATGGCGCTATCTGCCGTTGTATACTTATATATTAAGTCAATAAAAAAGTCCTCTATTACTTTGCAAATGACTACATAGATTTTTAAATATTAATTAAAGAAGGTTTGTACATTATGGTGCACAATTATATGCAATTATGGTGCATAATTATCTTCTATTAATAACTAAAAATCTGATTATTTGTAAAATGATAAAAGGCTTTTTTGTTTAATTTGACTTAATATATAAGCACACAACAGCACATATTGCCACTACCATATCGCACGTCATCATTCACCAAGGTTGTTTAATTAATATCTCACTATTATAGCGAATATCGGCAAACTGTATAGAACTTTTATGTTCACCCCAACCCGTTCTACGTTCCCAAAAACAAAAATTGTGAAAAATGTCTGGGACGTAAGCTTTATTATATCGAAAATAAATACATATATATTCGCGCTCTTCGTCTCGTCAATCAGTAATAAAACTTATAGCACAGTAATCATGTTTAAAATTCATTTGCACTGCAATAACGACTCTATGAAAACATAATGCTCGTCATGTGCCGAAGTCCAGATCGTATACGCAATCGTAGACGCATCAGCTGTTTCTGACGCCACGGCACAACACTATCATTATTGTGGATCGATACTTGAAGGTATTTGACAACGTACGCATTCGTGTGCGTGTATTAACCCATTAAAACCCAAGAGAAAACCGCTAAGGATAGGCTTTCAAAAACCATCTAAATTAGGGCAAACCGTCGAAATTTGTTAAAAAGTGAAAAAAAATTTGTGTTGGATTTCAAAATTCAAGATGGCAGACCAATATGTCGGCCCGAAAATTTGAAATTTTGACCTATTTGAATGAAAATCCGTATAGGGGGGAGGGGGGGTTCGCTGAGTATGAATATGCACTTATTTTTTCAAAATTTTTCAAAACGTACTTTCATTGAAATAAATCAAAATTAAAAATGTTTAACCGCCATTTTGATTTTTAAAGTCAAAAAACCATTTTTCTTCTACAGTCTGCTAAAGTATGATATTTTGCCCTAAAACAAACACCTTCGAAAGGTAGCTTATAACTTGATTAGATTTTTCGCCAAATAACAAAACTATGGCAAATTTTCGCATTTTTGGGCGGCCATATTGGATCCGTCATTACAAATTTTGAAAAAATAAATGCATATTCATACTCAGCGAACCCCAAACCCCCCCTATACGGATTTTCACTCAAATAGGTCAAAATTTCAAATTTTCGGGCCGACATATTGGTCCGCCATCTTGAATTTTGAAATCCAATACAAATTTTTTTTTCACTTTTTAACAAATTTCGACGTTTTCCCCTAATTTAGATGGTTTTTGAAAGCCTATTCTTAGTGGTTTTCTCTTAGACCTTAATGGGTTAAGTGGACGTTCTCGAGAAATGTAATAATGACAGCAATTAAATCATCGATAACTTCATAATTATCTTGCCTAAATTAATTAATAACAAATATTATTGTCTGTATCACTCAACTCGCGACTCGTGAATGTTGCGGATATGAGCCTGTAATCTACGACAATGAAGCACCGATAAAAACAATCGATATAAATGAAAATACAACAATAACTCGTTGTTCATATTTTAGATGTAAACATACGGATGAAGAGACGATATGAGATAAAGATGAGCGGCAGTTGACACGTATAGAAATTCTGCTCAATTACAGCTTCACACTGCCAAACCTTACAAGGCTGATTGGTGAAGGTAGAAGCCGACCATGGATCGCCGTAGTTTGATTGAATCACCGTCATGCAATTTTATCGCGGTTGCTAATAGCAAACGGGTTTCAAGCAATTCGCTTTTCGGTCTTCTGGAGTGTTGTTACAACTTATTAATTTTATAATTCGTTCGTATAAGTAAAACGAATAACAAGATATCTTCTTCGGATAGAAATTCAAACTAGTTCTCCGTTTTTGCACAAAAATACGTAAACGCAATGAGATATACTTATTACGCGTTTTCTAAAGTTTAGTGTTAAACTATGCGTATTAGTTATACCAAATTTGCTT